AAAATAGAAAACTCATGTAATTTAAAGGTACTCCCTGCTCATGGATTAAAAGAATTAACAATGTTAAGATGGACATCTTAGTTAAAGAAGTATATAGATTCAGCACAATCTCTGTTAAAGTTAAATGACATGGTTCAAAGAAGCAATGTATTACTAAAATTTATATGGAATCACAAAAGACCCCCAAAACCAGAGCTGTCCTGACAAAAAAGAAGAAGAAGACGACAAAGAAGAAGAAGAAGAAGAGGAGCTCTCCCTGGTTGTGCAGCAGGTTAAAGCACAGCACTAAGAAGCTAAAAACACTTCTGCATGAGTTCGAGCCCTGCCGGCCGGAGCTGACACACATGGTGCGGCAGACCTCTCCTAACCCACTCCCCTCAGCAGTGTACTTCGACAGCCGGCCTGTTCTGCTCCCCACTCTGTCTCTGGTGAAGCCTCTCACTGCCCCTGCACCTCTGGCCTGTACCCCAGCTCTGTATGCATAAGTAAATATTTTTTTTAAAAAAAAAAAGAAAAAAGGAGGCAATATTCTACCAGACTTCAGTTATACTACAAAGCTACTATAATCAAATAATACAATGCTGAAATAAGAATAGAAACACAAATCAATATAATTTGTTTGAGATCCCAGAAATAAACCCACACTTAAACAGTTCATCTACAACAAAGAAACTAAGGAGATATAATGAAAAAGGAAAATCAACAACTGGTGCTGGGAAAACTGGACAGCCACATGCAAAAGAATGAAACTTTCTTCCTTAGACCACTATTTCATAACGTACATAAAAGTGAATTCAAAATAGACAAAAATATTGAATGTGATACTCAAACTATAAAATATAAAAGAGAACATAGACAAAGACTCCATGACATTTGTATCAGGTATGTCATTGGGAAGTGAATTCCAAAAGCAAGAGAAACAAAGGTGAAAATGAACAAACGAGACTACATCAACCTGATAGCTTTCTACATAGTGAAGAAACTATCATTAAAAAGGAAAAGGCACCCAACTGTATGGGAGAAAATATTTGCACATCATATACCTGACAAGGAATTAATATCTTAGATATTAATCAAAGAACTCATACAACTAAACAAAAAAGTTTTTTAAAAAATCCAAGAAATTGACAGAAGATCAAAATAGACACCTTTCCAAAAATATATGTAGATAGCCAACTAGCATATGAAAATGTGCTTATTGTCAATTATCTTCATGAAATGCAAATCAAAACTACAATGCTACCACTTTACACCTATAAGAATGGCCATATCAAAAACACAGCAAGAATAAATGTTGACAAGATTATGTATAGGGGCCAAAGGGGAAGGAAATCTATATTTTGTTGGAAATGTAGACTGGTCCAGCTCCTAAGGAAAACTATACAGAGATTTCTCAGAATATTAAGATAGATCTATAGTACTTACCAGCACTTCCAATCCTCAGTATCCACTGAAGAATAAAAAAACACTAATTTGAAGGGATTTATGCACTACTCTGTTCACTACAGCATTGTTTACAATAGTCCAGTTATGATAGCAGTCTAAGTGTCCGATGACAAGTGATAGGATTAAGAACATGTAGATCTCTGTGGGTGTATGATTACATTCCAAAGGATCTCTTTTCTTTTTTTAAATTGTGATATCATTGATGACAGAACTGTGTGATTCAGAGGTATCTACAATTGGCAATTCCATCAACTTCATGAAACTTCCAGATATCACTAACATAACCTAAAAGACATGTCCTGAACCCTTATATCACAGAGTTTGGGTAGATAAAATGTGTCAGTTGCATTTCAAAAATATGGAACTTAATCATAGGGAAATTAAAAACCCCTCTGCTTTCAATATATTGCAAAGATAATAATAAAACCATTTGTAGCTTTACTGTTGTAGTTTTCTGCAAAAGTGGTTTTCTTACAAATTGCATATGTATTTGTAAAAACTTCTATAGTTGGATAAGTCATTTTAATCCTTGCTATTTTATAAAAAGAAAAATGATCAGGCCTTTTTTTATGTTTCATTGACTAAAATTATGAAGATTTTTATCTAATCTTGGTATAGAATTAGAAAAAAATATATAGTTTAGAAATATACTTTAGAAAATATACTTTAGAAAAAAATATAGTTTACCACTAATATTATTTATCAAATTTATTATTCACACAGCTGTCCAGAGTTCTTCACGTGTTTAGAATCTTCTTACTAAATGACATGTCAACTAAATCTGACACACTAAGTTCATAGATAAAAGCTTGGGCTAACACCTCTATATAGTATGGTGCAAGCTGTATTGTAAACTAGGACTAAAGTGCATTGGCAAAAGTATTTAAAACATCATTTTTTCCCCTTTAAGTAAATTTATTTCCAAAATAAGATCTTCCTTTTTAAAACTGAAAAGAGGACAATGACATCACAGCATTGCACTCTGTAAAAAACTCAGATCGTGCTATATGTTAACGACCTTTTTTTCTATGTAATAAAAATATTCAGGATTTATTGACTAACCGAGGCTGTTAGCTTTTAAGCTTTTATATTCTTTTCCTCTGTAGCTACCTTTTTAAAAATCATAAATCTTCACAGTGGATGAAAATATATCTGACACAGTATTATAACTTGTTTATATTTCATAGCCTTCACCTCAGCTTTTATTTCCATGTACTCAACTGGTGCGCTACAATTCCTGGTCTCCATCAGAACTAGCCCTGAAAATTTCCAGGCTAATGAACATAATGTTAAAGCAAACAGAGGAAGGTAGCCTGAGGTCAAGAACTAGTGGAAACAGATCGTTAATAAATAGCAATTTATATGAGTACATTGTCCTGCTCTCATAGGGACCTCAGTGTTCTTCCTCAGCCCTTCGCTGGACTCCAGGATTTTTTTTTTTTTTTACTTTTCAGAGCACCGCTTCCCCTGTTCCCTTAAAGCTACAGTGATAAGACGCTGAGAAGTGAAAACATGAATAATACCATGTATAAAAACTGATGTTTTTCATTTGGCACATGTAACTCCTCTAGTTCAGTTTTTTTTTAAAAAAAAAAAAAACCTATTTGCGACATGCTCTCTTTTCTTGCAGATGAACAAAGGAATACAGAATACTCCTTTACTAACTCTGAAAGTAACTTGTCACAGTGGGATTCTAAGGCCTAGTCAAATAATTGTCTTAGTGTACTACCTGCTGTGTTCAATATTGAGTGAAAATGGAAGCCAGGCCCTAACTCCAGCTTATTTCACAATTCTTCTGTTATTTAAATGATTTTAGTCAGTTTGGGGGAAGCCAGACCTTTATAAATTAACAGCAGGGAAATACCAAAGGTGTCAGATTGCATATTTATCATCTTTTTCGTGTAATACTTAAATATGTATTAAGAAGTGACTGACATAAATTAGGCAGATTTCAGAAGCCACAGGCCGTGGCTTGTAGAGGACCCCCTTCTGCTTGACATTTCATCCTTGTCAAAGATCAAATTATTTTAATTTAGGCTGCAAATTATAAGGAATGAAGACTTCTTTGTGGGAATTCCCTGTGGTAATCTGACTTTTGTTGTTACTGCTGCTTGTCAGTGTGCAAAAGATATAATATGCATGCAAATAAGGTTAAAAAATATGTACTATCTAATTATCCAGCCAGTACATTCCACTTGAAGACAGTGGGAGGCCTGACACACAGTATGTGTTTGATTCATTGAGGCCTGCAGGGTATTTACACAAGATTACTTTTAATTATGAAATTAATATCTGTTTATCTAGAATATATAGCGGTAAGTGAGTGTACACATGAACAGAATTCTTTAGTAAAAAGAAATCATCTTAATTTAATACTTGAAAAAGAGGGGAAAAAATCACTTGTTTTTTTTTTGGGGGGGGTCATCCTCAAGACCTTGGTTTCACCCTTATTTAAACAAACTGAGTGAAAAATTGGCACTTTCTTTAGAGTTTATTTCTAGTCTTGCCAAGTGGCCTCAAGATGTATTGCTTTATTTCACTGTTTTAATATTCTAGTGAACAAGGTGCTGTATTAGATTCAGTGTGATGAGGCAAGTCTGAAAAAAATAGACAAAAGTTTTTTATCATCTTGGTGGAGTATTCTCTTTTCGAATTTCAAAACCATGGAGAATGATGAAATTAGCATCAGTGATTTTTTGCTAGTAAGAAATAACAAATAAGTCAATTCCACAGGTCTACTTCAACTTATGAAATAAATATCACTAACAATGTTATTGGTATAACAACGTGTTAAATGTTTATTTCTTTCTCATATTGACTTATTACTGAAGTTAGATGTTATCAGGGATATAATTACAATAACTACCACTTTAGAAAATGTGAAAGAATAAATTGCAATAATTCCAAAATGTCATATAGTCTTGTGATTCTGCAGACATGTGCATCAGGGGAAGATGAACAGAAAATGCAAAAAATTTAAAATAACCAATCTGAGTATCTCAAAGCATTTTCTGTTGGTAGTTTGTATATTTTTCTTAATAAAGGGTTATCATCACCAATCCAAAACAAAAAATTGTCTAGTTGTTTTACTTTTGATCTATCATTCTATTGGATATAAAGTAATGGTGGGTTAGAGAATGTTCATCCTGCTAACTTTTTTAAAGGGTATCTGTAAAATACCCTTCAACACTTCTTGGCATTTCCCTCGGCCTGCCTGGTCCTCCATATTCATTTAGGCAATTACTTCTCTTACTGCCTTTGATGCTCAGCTTGCGTAGAAGTTATCGAATCCAAGAATACAGCCTTATCATTCCACAGTAATTCAGAGTTCTTTAAGTACTGTTTTGTATTTCTCTTTTCTCAAAAGTCTCCTAAGGTGCTTCTTTCTCTGCCCACAAAAATGAGGCCATGTGTTGTGATTTTTTTTTTTTTCTCCTTCCTTCCAGTATTGCCTTGCAGTATGTTCTAAATAGCAGGCAGTCATTATAATTTCTCTCTGAAACCTAGAAAAGAAAGATAAAGCATCTTTCTGTTCTTTTCTTTTTTCTGATCAGTGTGATGGAGTACAGATAGATTTAATAAACATCTCTCTGGAAGGAATTGCTATCTTGAACATACCGAGCATGCATGGAGGATCCAATCTTTGGGGAGAGTCTAAGAAAAGACGAAGCCACCGCCGGATAGAGAAAAAAGGGTCTGACAAAAGGCCCACACTCACAGATGCCAAAGAGCTGAAGTTTGCAAGTCAAGGTAAGTTTTATTAACACTTACTTGCTAAGTTATTTCTTAATCTGATTTTGAAGGGTATTTCACAATGGAAGAGTTGTCATTGAACTGTACAATATACATTTTTGTAGTTGTCATTTCATATTATAACATATGCATAAGCAATTAAGTTATAACAAAATGGATTCTAAAGTCATGTATAAGGTAAGTATATTTTGCATCAGATTTCTTTTTAATCTTTTATTTTGCTGTTTTGGATATAGCTTTGTCTACAGAAATAAAATTTGTGTAGCTATTTAGTAGATGATAATACAGGATACATCATATGTTAAGTTTCTCTGCAGTGTGATTTTCTTGTAAAAATAATTTTTTTTTAAAATAAATCAGTGTGCTGGTCGGCATGGTAGTAGCAGAAAATAGCTTTATGTTTTGGTATCATCAGATATCCACTTCAAGTATCAGTAGAATGTATTGACTTCTGCCCTGTGGAACACAAGGTATTCCTGTAACTTCTGTCATAGGTGAACACAAGGACACAGATTAAGAGTGTAGTAGTTATCCTCTTGAAAGAAGTGCTTATTACAACCTGCAATGACAGAAGGTTTTCATGCCCCTTAAATAGTAGGTAATTCTAAAGAGGTAAATTCCAAAGAGTCCAGTAATTTAATACAAGCAAGTTTACACCATATTACTTAAAATTATTTATAATCATAATAAATACAATTGTACGACAACATGATTTATTGTTTTGGAGGTATTGTTATTTTACAATACTATGTTTAAGATAATAGGCTTTTTGAAGAAAAAAACTACATTAAAAACAATTAGATTTGTGTTGTGTTAAATTTTTAAAAAGGTAGAAATAGGTGTTATTAATTTTAGGAGTTGATAATAATATTGCATTTAAAACTAACATTAGTAGTTTTCTACAAAGGTTAATAAAGAATTTTTAACTATTAAAATTAGTGCAGGGACTGGTCTAAGATGAAAACAAAAATGTCTGATTTCCCTCCTAGGGAAATAGAGAAAAAAGGAGGGAGGATGTGCACGAGGGAGAGAGGAAAGTAGGAGGGAGGGAGAATAAATTGTAGTATTGTAATGCATAAAATTTTAAGAGTTTTATGTATATTATCTATATGGTAATTTCCAGGTTTGTTTTTTACTTTGGTCCTGGCGTGACCTTTGTATATATACTTCCAGATATATATCTAAATTGATTCTCAATACTCAGCTGCTGATCATGCTCACCTAGTAAGCTGTTACGTTTTATAACGCATGGCTGTGCCCTACGGCACAGACTGTACACCCCTTACAGAGCTCCTGTGACCTCACTCATCCCAGTGTATGCTTTTTCCAGGAATAGACATTTGAAAAGAAGCACAGACAAATCAGACACTAGTTTGAAATCAAGCACAGATAGATGAGCCGAAAGTACTGTCACAGACTGTAACTGTTAGAAAGGTTCCTCTTCCCATCCTTTCTTCTTGCTTTCTACTTGAAACTGTTAGTACCGAGTTTTAAAAAACTCCAAGAAAGGAGGAAATAAGACATGCAAGTTTGTGACTTAGAAATATGTTTCTCTCAATACAAAGACGAGGGAAAACTGTATATATCAGTTTTTGTTTGAGCAGTGACAGAAACCTATGTAAATTTGCTTGTACTTTCAGTTGTTTTATTTTTCAAGATAAGTATAACCTTGTTGATAAAATTGGCTTATCAGCTAAATACAAAAAGCATATATATTCATCAGTTTTCTTTTAACTTTTATCAAGAACGATTTTTATTTTGATGTAATTTGCTAAGATTAGGCAAATGTATCGCAATACTCATTTTAATTGTATCTTTATTCTGTTAATTCTTAAATATTATACTATATAGTTAAAAGTGAACTTCTTAAATTATTTGCTTGTATAATTTCCCTAAATGGGAATATTTCTCTCTTTATTTTTCAATTTCTTGATGTAAAAACAATGGGAATAAATTTGAGTCAGTAAGAAAATATAAGTATATTTTCTAATTTACATAAAATTATTGTATTTTTAACTTTAAAGTGACATATGTCATCCTAGTCCATATTGAATTAATATATTTTTCTCTAGGAAAAACATATGAGTAAAAAAAAATCAATAATGTTATCTTCCTCTTATAGGTAGTATCTTTTTTTTCCAAAATATTAACTGACAACTTTTCCTCTGTGCGTCTTTGAAATTTGAAGCTTGAATTCAATTTTTACTGTATTGGAATAGATGCTGTTTCTGTGAAGTATAGAAAGTTTGGGAAGTGGGTGAAAACTATACCTAATTAAACACTGGTAATAAAAATAAATTTTTAGTAAAAGGATTTAATTTAAGAAAAATATTTACAAGTATTTTTAACTTAATGTTATATATACCAAAGGGACAGGATCAGGTTTTTAACATTGTCTTCATTTATATTATGGCATATCAATGTTCATGGACTCCTGCACAATTTATTTGCTGCAAATTTTGAGGGTGCTTCAGAGCATAAGATCAGAGTCTTCAGTTAATTAATCATGGATTGAAAATTTTTATACTTTAATTTACTTGAGTTGACCAAAATCATCAGCATTTTAATTTAATTAGAGGATTATTCCAGCAGGATATTTTAAAAACAATTGTATGCACGTATGAAACATATTGATACTCATGTTCATTTAATTCAATAGGCATTTTTTGTGGATTTTTCTTTTGTTTTATGTTGTATTTATTTTAATATAAAAGGATACTTTATATCCAGCGTACATGAGTATAATTACACATTTTATATGTTGGATATGTGTGTGTGATTGTATGATCTTTTTAAGTGCAGTTGTGAAGAGTCCATGAGTTCTTCAGTGCTGTTAGCTTTAATATTCAATCTTTCCATTTCTTTCAGTTGCTGAGTTCATCTTTACTTCCCCCTTTTCTGAATTAAATCCAGGCCTCAGAAAAATGTCTAATAAATTCATTCACATTAATGTATAAATGACTGATTGCAGATGAAAGTAGAGGTATTTGCATTTGAAAAGAAATATGGGCCTTCAGCTAAACCATTATTTTTCAAATGGTGTTCCATTGAGTTATAACAGCAATTCTTCAGTCTCTATAAGAACTCAGTTAAAATTCATTATTACCATATTTTGGAATAATAATAATAACTGTAATTAAAATACACTAGTAGTGTGTTTTACAAAAATATTTAATCATACAAGTGATCTAAAATCAGTTAATTGTTGCCAGACAAAATTAACTTACTCTCTACCTTTTATGCCTCATCCCCATCTTTCTTCTCAGTAGGTAGATAAATAGCTAGCTAGTTAGCTACCTAGATATAACAGATGATCTAGCTATATAAATAGCTATGTATACATAGGGATATGTAAATAACTGTGATATTAATTGGAAAGTCTATAGCTCTGCAATGGTCATTTGAGTAATAAATACATCTTGCATATGTAATGAGGATAATTTTACATCACCATCACAGCAATGGTGAACCACCGTTGCCATAGAGGGCCAGAAAGCTAGTTCCTTTTTCTTGGCACAAGTAACAACAATGCATAACAGTCAATAAAAGTAAAAATACAGGGCCCTCCCTGATAGTTCTGTGGATTAAAGCACAGCCCTAAGAAGCTAAAGCTACTTCAGCATGAGTTCGATCCCCATCCCTGGAGGTGACCCATATGGCATGGCAGACCTCACCTGACCCATCATCCACTGCTCCCCTCAGGAGTGTACTTTGTTGATCTGCCTGTTCTGCTCCCCACTCTGTCTTTGGTGAATCCTCTCACTGCACCTGTGCCTCTGGTCCATACCCCAGCTATGTATACATACATAAATAAATCTTAAAAAAAAAAAAACAGTGAAAATACCAATCTTTTCCATGTAAATGGGAACCACGGTCAGAAAATTGTTTTCTCATAATTAATTTGCCTTAGTTAAATAGTTCTCAGTAATAATAATAAGCTTGTACTAGCTTATATATCAAGCTCAAGTCTGTGATTTAAACATGCTGATAAAGATCCATATGTGAAGTTGAAATGAAGTTTTAGATATGCAGAACAAAGTAAATTTGTCTAATTGGAACTTTGAATGGACATATGAAACAGCAACAAAGGCCATGTCACAAATTTATAATGATATGATATATAAATATGTATATATATATATATATATATGCAATATATATATATATATATATGGTGACATAGCAGGTTGAAGCACAGCACTATGAAGCTATAGCAGTATGGCAGCCACTGCAGTACAAGTTCAATCCCACCCTGCTGATCATGGCACAGCAGTCCTCTCCTGTATTGCCTGCTGCTCCCCTTACTTAGTCAGCCTGCCTGGTCTGCTCCCTACTCAGTCTCTGGTGAATCTTGTCACCCCCTGAGCCCCTGACCTGTACCCCAGCTCTTATGCATAAGTAAACAAAAATCTTTTTTTTTAATTATATTAAAATGATACCTTTGAAAAGTATTTTAAGTCAGTGAAGACCTCTCAGATATTGTTAGCAGTTTTTACTTATTCCATGGCTTTAGCTTTGAAAATACACGTCAAACTTTACAGTTTCCAGTAATGAGATCACAATGGCCAAATGGGATGTAAAATGTTTACATCAGTGTTCATACTGCTTATAATTACAGTTGCTGTATTCTCTGTGTCAAGATATGCCATAAAACCAAAAAAAAAAATCCAGATCCAATGAAAAATATGATAAGAATGTCAAAATAGTCTGTATTTGAATAACATCTTTATTCTGATGGGTGGACTGTGTTAAAGGTACTGGCAATATAGCCTCTAAAATTTATATGTACATATAAAATTCTAATTTTCTTTTTTGCTTATCTTTTTTAATTAACACTTCATTTTTCAGAAAAAAAAATGAAAAGGTTGACTTCTTTAAAAAGTTTGAAAACAACTTAACAAAAGCCATATACAATTATAGAGTTTCAAACATTTGCCATTAGTTAAGGTAGATACAGCTGAGAGCAGCTGGACTTCCTGCAATTGACTTAGGTTACT